AAATAGACAGTATTTTAAAATACGCTGAACAGTATTGAATCCGATGGCAAATGTTGTTGCTAATTCCAGTGGCCATCCGTTTCTTCTTCATAACGGCTGCCCAGCACGAAAGCATGAAGGGCCTATTCGCGATAGAAAGCTCTAGCTTCACTATTTTTTGTCTTACTAATCGTCATGCAATCAAATGCATTAGCCAAGTTCTCTTTTTTCTCGCCCGCGCTTTGCTCTCGCTCGTAAATCTTGATTGTACTATCACGTCGTGCATCATCCACAAATGTCAGGATTTTTTACACGTATATTCTTTATTACAGATTATCTTACGCATGGTCAAACATGGATTGGCCAGAATATGGTCCCTTGCCATTTTTTCGTGGAGAAATGTACATGGTCATATTGCAGTCGGTTTTCTACGGTGGAGTGTTTCTTGTGGGATTTTTCGGTAAGCGAATACAATCGAATTTCATAAAATGTTGTCAAGCTTTAAAGATTAAAAAGGACAACGTATCAAAATGTATCCAACAATGTTTTAACTAAATAAATGTGTTGAAAGAAACTTTTTTTGAGCGAAAATTGTAGTCAAACAAAGTGAAGCAAGTATAAACAGATAACTGGTTTTTTACTCAGGAATGGATATCCATGTATGAAAACCTCAAATAAATCTTGAATGTGAAAAGTTTTCAATTTTTTCCAAAGTTTTATTGGGCTTCAAAATCAAATCTAATTCTACATGACATTTCGAATTTTTTGAATAAACACTTCATCAATCCACTCAATTCAATTCTTTCGTTTTTTAAATTATCAAAACTTTTCAAGGAAACATCTTCGTTGTGTTGGCCGTAGTATCGCAATCACAGCTACGAAGTACCACTGATTACCTCATTTCATCTCTTGCCATGGCCGATTTGCTCATCATCATTTTTTGCCTTCCAACCACTTTGCTCAACAATATTTTAACAGGTAAGCGAACATAAATCATTATCAAAAGCTTTATTTGTGGCTCTTTCATCAACGCATATCGCAATAAGTGCTGCGCCGAGACTTTTTCTTGTTTTGTGACGTTTCCTTTTACGAATGATAAATAACTGACCATTCACTTCTATAGAGTTTGCTTGCAGCAATCGTGAGACTACATGTTCTTCTTGACTGCATTTTCAATCGCACGTTACTTTGAGCGAATCTATCATACTTGTTTACCTTTTCATCGCTTTCAATTTGATAACTTTTTCTATGTATATGCGCGAACCTACGCATCTATAGCATTTCACAAAGT